AGCCTACACAAGGAAGAGTTCCCAGTGGATGATAGGCTATATCAAGCAGATTTGTGACAACATAAACTGTAATCCCTCTGACCTGCCAATATGATGAACAATAGAATTGGATGGCAAGAGAGGGAAAGAGTCGTAGGAATCCAAGCAAGTAGTGAAACCAGATATATATATATATATAATTATTTATTTAAAAATTATAACATAAATATGTTATAAAATCACTACAAAAATAGCCATTTTGTTTCAACACCTCCAGTGTCTTATCAAGTGATGATGTTGAATGTAGAATAAATGGTTTTAAATGTTTCAAATTAATTAACGATCCTTCACTAAGGGAAAACGGTAATTTTTTACTTTTAATTTTAATATCAAATTTTATCATATAATTTAATACTTATTGGTTTGAATAAATTCTATTTTAGTATAACCCCAACTTTAAAGCTTTTAATAGCCATTATAACCTTACTTCATTGTCAAGTTTTTTGAATTCTCGTATACTTGTTTTTTGATTGGTCATTCTAGCTTATGTAAGGCTGTTTCATGTTTGACACAATCGTCAGGCCTGACAATTGCGTCTAGTCTGAAACAGCCTGTCACCTCTAAGTGTTGACTTCAATGTTCACTTTTATATTGACAACTAATATATATATAGGGAGCATATCTTCATTCAAACATGTTTCATTGAATATTATAGACATATCTATTTATTTTCATAATGGTCCTTTCTAGTTCTCTAATCAGTTTCTTGATGTTAAGATGAAAGTCATCATGGAAGGTTTTTTTCCTGCCCAAGTACTTTCGATCTCCTCCAAGATCATCCGCAAGGGTAAATTACCAAAATATTGTAACTGTGATAAAATCTGCATTTCATTGTGATGGTGATTTTTAAAAACAAGTGTGAACGTGCTCTGTTATAATTATTTTAAAATTTTAAATTTATCCATTGTATATGGAATATTTTTCGTAAAACAAGCGAACTAATATGTTTTTCTTAGCACTACCTGCTCAAACTGGGCACCTCGAGGTGGTGTAATGGTTAGCAAGCTAGTAGTAGTGAGTTCAATCCTCACTGGGTGCCCCTTACTTTCAGCCTTGTGCCACATTCAAGCTACGCTTGAAAAATCACTGACGAATGGCATAATTGTACCATGCCATAGTGAATTTTGAACATTATGAAAAAAATACCAAGTTATAAATGTGAATAAATTACTTGGAATTTATTGATTAACAAGAACAATAATGAAAGACGGTTTCAAGATAAAAAAAAAATGCGTCAAATTCTAGGTACGGGATTTCTAGACGTCATAACAATATTATAGGTTTCCATAGTACGCCAAAGCTAATCGTTACTCAATGAGCTCAGCAACACGTGTTTACAATCTTTGGGACGATCCGGCGCATTTGTCTTACAAGGAAAGAAAGGTAATGTAAAAAAAAGAGGAAAAAACGCTTGAATTGTTTAGTAACAACAAGCAGCTTTTCCGATACGATTTTACGGTGTTATTCACAAGTTTTTCAATTGTGGCTTTTTAAAAGAGCAGTTTATTTGGGGGGCGTTTTGCACATACATTGAAGAAGGAATTGAACTTAAAAAGTAAAAACAGTGAGTAGTAGTAGTCGTACAACACACAGTATACAAACATTGTACACAACTTATTGAATAACCGAATTTGTCAGTTATTGTTTTATTTTAGTATTTTATCTTTTAAAAATAGTATAAGTGCGGTTTAGAAGTAAACAAGTAATGCAAAAAGAAAAAAAAAAGGAAAAAATGTGTTCCAACAGAGTCAGTGCACGCTTTCGTCTGAATCTCATGATTACATCACGCAATCTTGTTCTTCAACAAAATAACCATAAATCGTACAGAAAAATGCAACCCAAATAATAAAACCATGTATTTAAAAAGCAAAAATGAACAACGGGGCATCACAATGCAAAAAAACAGTATATATATATATATATATATATATATATATATATATATATATATATACTTAATTTTTCTTAAACCCGAAAAGAACAAATAAAAAAAATCAAATTAAATTTGTCAACAATAAATCAGTCGCATTTTCATTAGCAAAATATTTAATTATAATTAGGCTTCTTAAGAAAGTTGAAGAAACGAAGTGTTTTACTTTTTTTATTATATTATTTGTTTAAAAAATAATTTTAATTTTTAAAAACCTATATTTGTTCCTGTCTCCACTTTAAAAAAAAAAAAGAGCAACAGACGGAAGAATCTTTAAAAATTCCGTCGAAGCTGAAATCGCTTCATCAAGTGAAGTCGACATTTGAACAGAACGATTTCTGATAGTATGGTCACGTGATCTAACCACCTGTTAAAGTTTTTAAAAAAATGTAACCTCGGTGGTTATTTTTTTTTTAAAAAAAAAGAACAAGTGTTTTTTTTTTATCAGGTTCACTTAGATTTTAGAAACAGTCATGTAGCACGTAATTAAATGTATTTAAGCAATATTACAAAAAAAAAAAAAAAAACAACACTCGTCTTAAAATCTGCTTTAATTTTTTACATGAAAGAAAAAAAAAGTATTTTGTACTGTAGCTCGATTTGTATTATTTTCTTGCAATTAAAACAAAATTAAACTTCAAAGATACTTATTGCAATATAGTTGTTTTTTTTTTTTAATTATTTAAGTGTCAGTGCTTGAAATGATTTAATCGAAAGTTCAAAATATTTTTTTAATATCAAAATTGAAAACGAAAAATAAAAATTGGAAATCTTCATCGAAACTGCTGAAGATCTGAGATTTTAAAATTCTTGTCTAGTGCTAATTTTTTTCTTTTTAAACCGCTAAACGAGTTTGAAATGAAACATGATGCAGTTTCTTTGTCTTACTCTTCTTAACATTATGCTTTAGGCTTTTTTCTTTTTAATTTCTCATAAAATGAACAAATGATTGAAGCAAACCTGCTTCTAATTTTTTTTCTTTTTTTAAATGGTAAATTAAATTTTATGATTAGAAATTCAAGTTGTGAAATTATTTTCTACTTAAATTTTGTTTTACCGGCTTAATTTAGGAGTTCAAGTTTATTTCTCATGAATTGCTTCTTTTTACAGGATTCAAACAAGATTATTTTATTTTATTTCAAACTAAAGAAAACTGAAAGATAAACGTTAAAAAAAACCCCTAGAAACTCCGTTTACTTTCTGCTCATTTTTTTTAATGTATTTTTCAGTGCTAGTAAATATTAGAACTAAAAGTCAACACAAAATTGAGTGGAGGCAAAATATTTTTTTAAAATTAAAATACTTGTTGCAGCAGCCTCTTTAATTACAGATCATTTAAATTTTAAATTTTAAAATAAAAAAAAAATGAAAAAATTCGATATAAATATTACTACTTGAAATTAAATGCAGCACATTATTAAATAAATAATAAAATATGATTTTTATTAATTCTTCTTTCTTTTCATCAGTTTTAAAAACTGATGAAAAGTACAATGTTTTTTTTGAGTAAATAAATTTTTTAAAGCTATATTTTTTTTTTAATCCGATTCCTGTCTTTTCCCTCATTTATAGCATTTCATTATTCATAGCATTTTCGAAACATTTTTTGAGATATTTCTTTGTTTCAATGATAACTAAAAAAAAAATAATTAATACTTTTCAACTTATCCCCATTTTCAGTGACGTCTCCTGTTTTAAAAATGAATAATAATAAGGAAAACTATTATTGTTTATGATGGAAACAGCTGTAACCGATTGCACTTATTGTGTGGACAAACCGTTTTTGCAAAGAAAGAACACGATCTTTCTTGAAAAATACGTTAATCGCTACATGAAAATATTTCTTGCATTCTTTTGTTTGTTTGCTTTGTTCTTCAATTTTTAAGATATATTTAATTTATTCAAACGACGTTTTATGTTGTTGTTTTTTTCTTTAACCAAAAGTAGTTGATAATCATTACTTAAATAAATGAATAAAAAAAGAAAAATAATAAATAGTGTCTCGTTTGGGCACCCGTAATATAATCTGGCGATAACAAAATTTGTTGATAAGAGACTTAGTGAAAATAACCGTGCTGAACCTGAATAAAGAAAACAACCGGGGAAAAGAAGCAAGTATCGGGTATGTTCGTCTGCACTTGCTAAAACTGGACTGTTAAAAACATATTTCATTAATTTTTTACTGTTAAAAAGAATCTATAGTCCTTTCGTTTTTTTTTGTTTTGTTTTTTTTCTTTTTTTTTATACATATTTCCTTTGATCAAGGTGACCGTTTTGTTGCTTAAGGCTATTATTTTATTTGCACCGCCAGGGATCAGTGTTTTTTTTTTTTTTAATGAAGTGGGATAGTGACTAAGTAGTAGTAATAATAGTCACTAGTGGGATTAATAATTATTAATAAATGATAATACTACCAATAATTAAGAGGTAATTAAATATAGCCAATTTAATCCCCTTTTTATTTTATTAGATTTTAATTTTCAAACTATGTTGAAGGTGAAAAAAAACTCCCGTGTCACCGACAAGAAAATCCATTTCATTTCACTAACACGAGATGTTTTCCTTCTTGTTTAAATTTCAGTTTCCTCTTTAACTCGTGTAAATTGTTTTTTTCTTCTGTGTGATCTTTTTGAACGAGATTTTTTAAAAGCACTGACCAAAAAAACAAAAAAAAATGTAGGTAATTTTTTTTTTTTTTTAAACCTAGCAATAACTTCTATATTATGACAGGTGTAAAAATTTACCTCAAACAAAGAAAAAGGTCCCTAAATCAAAGAAAAGATACTAGTAAGTGAGTAACTAACTAAGCATCCTTTCTTTGTTTTAGGGATAAACATAAAAAGAAAAAAATAATAGATGTAAAAATAAAAAATAATTCCAAAATTTAAAATAACCTTTTTTTTTTTTTTTTTTTTTCTATAGTGATTTCCTATGATTTTTAATTTTGTTATGTCAAGCCTGTGTAAAACTAAATCTATGGTTTTCGTAGCATGTAGGATTTTATTTCGAATCTATCGTTATTTAACTAAGGATGCTTCTTTTTTTGTTTGTAGGAGAGAATGGGAGAAGAGAGGACATCACTCTTCTCCCGATTATTCATAAGGTAAAGGGCAAGCAAGAGCAACAAACAAGACTCGGAATTCCTTAGTGAAACAAAAACAAGAAACATTAACGAAATTTACATTTATTGACAAGACAAACAGAATAATACAAAATATATAACTGAGATTGCACCAAGTTTTCCTTTCGCGTGCCTTAAGGCAAGATAAACCAGTTCAAAATTAAAATGGACTCATAAGCTGATATAAATTTTTCAACAAAACTTTTGATAATCGAATTTTTTTTTTTTTTTTTTAGAGAAGGTTCAACAATACAGTTGTTTTCAAAACGATAACAAACACTTATTTGAAATACACACTTATTTGAAAGTCAAAAGTGAGAAGGTTGACAGAGTTGTTACCGGAATATCTGGGACTTTTTAAAAAATTTACTCCCAAGGGGAATCATAATAATATTGAGATAAAAATCTCATTGAATTCTTTTTCAAACAACAATATCTTTTAGTTAGCTTCTTTTTCTTTCTACTTCTTTTGTAAGAAACAGCCAAATTTATCTACTGGTATTAACCAAAGTTTTTTCGTATTCACAAACAGCTCTCTGTCATTCACCTACGACTCTGTCTTTTTCATTTCTTTTCTATCCTTAACGTTTTATCATTCTTCCTTCTGTATTTACCTTTGACTCCCTACTAAGGATACAACACAAGGTCAGTTTGTTTTAACATGGGGAACCTGTCTCCATTCAGTCCACTGGTCTTTTCTAATCATAGTAAAAAAGTAGACAATAAAAAACAGATCCAAGGATTCTGTTCAATCAGTGATGGGAGAGGCCCTGGCATGGAATAGATATTACAACAGCATTTCCTCTGCCCTAGCCCTTCTGATTTTTCTAATCGCCTCAATTTCTTTTGTAGACCCCAAATAGGCTCCAGATGCGAGTCCCATATTTTTCTTTTTTTTTTTTTTGTTATAGTAAGTTTCACTCATTACAAGGCCTGGGGGAAAACTTGAAGTAGAGGGTTATGTTAGATCATTTTTAGCAGCTGTTAGTGCCCCATCTATGGATAAATATTGAAACCCCAAACAAAAACAGTATGATGTTAAACTACCTCCTGCAGTAAGGCCTCTGATTGGGCATTTGGAGGTTTTGAGTATCATGGAACCACCTCTTAACTATTGTTGCTCCCATGTTCGCATTGAACTGGAGTGGTAGTACCTGTTAGGATCTCAGCTATGGAAAAATATTGAACCCCCAAACAGAAATCACCATTTTTATAATGAAATGACCAACAATACATTTATAGCAAACTTACAACCAGTGCAATATTAAAAAAATATATTTTTATAGTAAAATTACCACAATACATTTTCTGATTTATAAACTATATATCTAAAAAAAGACATATCTTTACCATGAGAGTATAAAATTATATACAAGTTATCTGTAGTTGAAAGTATAAAATTGCGTGTGGGATATTTAGATTTTGGCATTAAATAACCCATAGAGGTGTTGATATGCCGCTAAACAAATTCAACCAACTAAACACAAAAAAACACTATGAAAGTATAAAAATGCATCTTTATATTAAAAAATAAAACAATATATTTTCTGATCTACAAACTATATATCTAAAACACATATGTTTGACCTGAAAGAATAAAATGATGTACAA